AGAGGTACAACCTTTTCCCTTCCCTTTTCCTAGCTCGACCAGGGAACTTCTAGAAGAGTACCTGCGCTTCAAGACTCTTTTCCACTCAGGGGAATAATAGTGAATGTCAGAAAACGGTAGCCGTCATGATGTAACAGGTCTCAGGAACTGATGCTGTCACTTTTAAGAACACGTAAGTCTTATCCTGATGCTGTAAGATTCATCGTCCCCCTGTTACGGATGAGGAAACAGGGCTTCACATGAGCTCAGAGGCAGGTTTTCCCGAAACCCTCACAGCTAGGGCACAGCACAGATCAACTACCTCCCCGCACTGTCTTTCTGCCAGCAGAGCCAGCCCTTGGAGCGGATTTCCCAGAATCCCGTTTTAGCCAGTGGGACTGAGGTTCGCGGTCCAATGGGAGCTGCCCAGCTACAGCCCCATCAGTGTCTTCACTGACCAATCAGAGCAACTCCATTCTAACCAATAGACAGTGTTTTTTGGACGAACCCAAGTGCGGGAATTTGGAGTCCGCATTGGGAGGGGGACAAACCAATCAGGGGCCAGGGGCAGGGACTTCTGTCTACCTAAGTCGGCTCCCCTCTGGCTCGGCTCTGGGAGTCCACTTTCCCTCTCCTCCAAAGACTGTAGGCCCTTTTCCTGGCTGGAGCTGGAGCATTGGAGACCTGTCACCAGAGCAGAGCAGCCTGGCACGGAAGCAGCCTGAGGTGGACCAGTGCAGAGCGGAGTAAGCAGCTGGGGCTGAGCAGAGCTGCCGAGCCCCAGGGGCCTCACCCTAGGACCCCCCCCAATCCAGGGCCACCTTGTAGTGGTGCTGTTTCATGACGAGCTACAACTCGACGGAGCGGTCCCACAGCCTTGCTGTACTGAAACTGAAAAAGACACTGGAGTCCGGGCTGCCTGTCACTACCAAACCCAACAAGCAGAGACAGGGACTGAATCTTTATGGGCGCTTTATTCAGATGGCAGGAGATCTGAGAAGACAGAGGGTTCATACCCTAACAGACCATCTCAAATTCCATTTTAAAATGGCCCTTTTTATAAAGAGAACAAAGTGTGGGTAAGGGGTTTGGAATTCAGGAAAAGTTAATTGGATTCAGCATTCTTGCCCTGGGCCGGGGTCTTAAGCTGTGCCCTGGGCGGGGGTGGGAGTGGGGCATCCTACCCTGGAGCACAATGGCTCAGATACCACCTTGAGTTGCGTGCAGTCCCCTTGAGGCACAAAGGTGGAACTGCCTGTGGTCTCCTGGAGTCAGCGTGGGTCATACCTTTGGTTTCTGGAACGAAAGCTTTTACGTGCATTGATTACTAAACTCATTAGCTATTACTTAAACTAAAATTTTCCGACTCTCGAGTCCCCTGTCACAGTTTCACCATCGAGCTGTTCTGCCCGAATGAAGTTCTCGTCTTCACCGTGCTCTCAGTTCGGGATTCCTGGGGGTGCTGGGCTGGTGCCAAAGACCGTCGTTGACGACACGTTTACCAAAACTGAGAAATTAGCTCTGGTTCCTCACTACGGACTGAACTCCAGACGCTCTCTGGATTTTAGCAGTGTCTCCTCTCCTGTCCTCGTCATGGCCCAGCACAGCGGGCCGCCCCGTGTCCCCAGCCTCCGTCCCATCCCTTCTGAAGTGGAGCTGGGTTCTCCAATCCAGGCCTGTCTGAGGTCAGACTGTGAGCTGACCTTGAGGCACTGGGTCAGTTCACTGAGGCTGATTGCACTTGAGTTTGTATTCTCATTTGCTAACGCAGTCGCAGTCTTGTGCTCATAACTCGGGCTGCAGGAATTCGGCAGAGCTTCTGTGTGGAGACTAGAATTGGGCCTTAGGGCATGGGTGGGATTTGGTGGGGGTGGAGGCGAGACAGCAGGGATGGGATTTGGCGGGGTGGAGACCAGCATGGAGCCTTCTGGTGTGGGTGGGGTTTGGCAGGGTGGAGCGAGGAAGTCATCACAGGCTTTGTGCTGACCTCCCCTGTGTTAATACTTCAGCCCTCCCTCCCCCCAGGTAGGCCCATGTTGGGCACAGAGAACCTAGTACTTAATGGCGGAGAAATCCCAGGCCTGGAGGCTCAAGAACCCCAGATCTTAGTGTTTCTGATCAAATTCAGCTGCCAGTTCAAGCTCAGGGCTCAGATACTGCATCCATAACCCCTCCGGAAACGCCGTTGCTGACTGCACAACACGTCCGGGAGGCCCCTCCACGTCCACCACGCAGGGACTCTAAACCTAGATCCACCTTCCCACAGAGCCAAAGCCACAGGCCCGATGCAGAGAGATCCGATCAGATCTCTGGGGAGAAGTGGGAGGGGCCGTAGGAGGAGTTTGCCGGGCGAAGGCAAGCCCAGGTGGTCAGCCTGGACAGTCCCACTGCAGCTGCCTGCGTTTCCCAATGGGCGGTATTTTGTATGGGAAGGAACTCCGGGCACGGCCTAGGGTTGGGGCTGGCCTGGCAGAGGGTGGCAGGGTGATTCTTCTTTGGGTGGTCTAGACGAGACGACCCCGGAGGCAGAAGCCTGCCGTTCTTCCAGAATTGTGTAGCTTGTGAGCATGACGTTGCTTTAGTGTGTAAACTACCCCTACAGAAACCAACAAGGGAAAAGTTAGGAGAACTTAGTTTTTAGAGTTTAGCTTTAATTGATAGGCTGAAGTGATTAAAGCTGTGACTTGATAGGCTTAAGTAACTACTTTTAAATAAAGATTTTGAAGATTTTATTTAATTACGTTTAGAGAGAGGGGAAGAGAGGGAGAAAGAGAGAGAAACATCAATTTGTGGTTGCTGGGGACCGTGGCCTGCAACCCAGGCATGTACCCTGACTGGGAATCGAACCTGAGACACTTTGGTTCGCAGTCCGAGCTCAATCCACTGAGCTACACCAGCGAGGGCTGAAAAAACTATTTTTTAATGGTAGTCAGTAACTGACCACCCTCCCCACCAAATGACACTAGAAGGCTACATAAAACACGGGCAGCAAGTTAGTGACCTGTTTTACACACTTAAGAGAAAAACAAGTGGGTTCATACGGTAGCACAATACTTGTACAAAGGGAACAGCTAAGCTGTTAGCGTGCAGGGAGCCTGCCAGGGAAGGATGGGGCCAGCTCCTGGCGCGAGATGAGCTGAGGAGGCGAAAAAAGGTAAGAGGAGCAGCAGGAAGCCTTACGCACTCACCCGCCAGTCTGCAGCCCCAGGACCGCAGAGCCCCGTGGGTTAACGCAAGGGCCAGGTGGGCTCAAGACCTCCCAACAGATTTCCAGGCCCCAAGGAGGGCCCCCACACAGCCCCAGGATCCCATGAGCCTTTTGGCCTCCGCCCTCTGGGCCTGCAGGGTGTCACTTGCATACTTCTGCGGCAGTTCCATCTTCTGCGCAAGCGCCTCCTTGAGCTCCTGCCGCGATGGTGCAGGGACCGGAGCCGGGAGCTTCCCCTGCCTGTCTTCCCCTCCATTCTCCTGGCTGCCGTCCTCATCAGACTCCTCCTTGGTGACAACGCCTCTTGAAAAAGGAAGTGTGTCCCACGTGGCAGTAGCCAGCCAGAGCTGTCCCTTTGGGGCCTGGCACAGTGCTCCATGGCCCGCTTGGTTACTTCTGTTTTATGACTGGGTCTTTGTCATAGATGTTGACCTCTTCCTCCTCCTCTTCCTGTTCTCCTCTCGCCAGCCCAGCTTCTCTGCTTTCCAACTTTCCACTAATTCGATCTGTGTTTCTTTTCACATTCCTGTTCCCAAGGCACAACAACGCCACCTGCTCCATCTAGATGACCATAGTATTCAAGATCGATTGCCTTCAGGAGCTCAGCACATGTGTTTCTTGGAGGAAGAGGAGGTTCTTTTTCAAATAACTCCCTAAGACCAGGCAAATTTTTCGCTGCTCCCAAGTACAGGGTCCGGCACAAATAACACCCTTATTTTATTACAAAATCTTTTATTACAAAATTATAAGTGTGTAATTCTGTAACATAACTATGACACTCAAGCACACCATGACATTGCAGGTGAAACGTTCAAATTAAAATTATGAATTATTACACCCATGTTATTACCCTATCAACCACACTCATGCAGGCATTACTTCTGCTGGACCCCGTATTCATAAACTCCTTTTCCTGGGACTTCTTTTCCTTGGTGGTCCAGCATTGTAGGGGCAACGTTTATATAATCAGGCCCAGCCGGATCCTTTTACCTGGACCTCCCAGTGTCCTTTCTCCCTTAACAGTTCGTCAACTTCATCATTCTGGTCATGAATTTGGAATTCACCTAAATCTGCAGCATTCTGAATCTGAGTTTTTAGCGATCCTTCCAATGATGTGTCATCTCCACTTCTCAGCGTTGGTCAACTGCCCACCTTCCGAGGCGAGGAAGGGTCTTCATTCCTTCACTTTTCCCTCCTCCATCTGAGCGTGGCGAAATTTTTGCCAAGGCTGTCATGACCTTTTCTGCATTTCCAGCTATCGTGCGAGCGAGGGTACGGATCTTGGGCCGGGAAAACTTTCTGGCCTCGGGGGAGGCCAACCCTGATGGGGACTGGAAGAGTCTGTGACACAGGAGATCTGATTGGATCACTGGGAAGAAGTAGGAGGGGCCGTAGGAGGAGTTTGCTGGGAGACAATGGAAAGCGGTCTAGCACGGGATTGGCTGAGAAGCCCCAAAGAGGATTAAAAAAGGGCAGACCCTTTGACTCAATAGCTTTTAAGGCTCCTGAGCTGGTTCCCTCTCAGGCTCTTCTTCCTCCAGGTTGGCCGGGTGGTCGTGCTCCCGCTGCCTGCGCTCTCCAGCTGACGACAGGTATTTTGCACGGGAAGAAACCTCTGGACAGAGCCTAGGGTTGGGCCGGCCTGGCAGAGGGTGGCAGGGTTACTCTTTGGGAGTTCTGGAGGGAACAGGCTCTGAGGCAGAAGCCTGCCATTTCCCCAGAATTGTGCGGCGTTTGTGCATTACATTGTTTTATTTTGTAAACCGAGGCGGAGTTGCAGAGCGGCCCGGACGACCCTGAAGGAGAAGGCAAGATGGCGGACGTGCTGGATCTTCACGAGGCTGGGGGCGACGATTTCGCCATGGATGAGGATGGGGAGATCCACAAGCTGAAACAAAAAATGAAGAAACGGAAGGGCCACGGCTTTGGCCCCAAAGAGGGGTCCCGCGCATGGCTGAGTGCTCGGGATTATGACAGCGTGCAGCAGGATGGAGATGGACCCGGCCCCCAACGCTCTGTTGAGGGCTGGATTCTCTTTGTCACTGGCGTCCACGACGAAGCCACGGAAGAAGACATCCTTGATAAATTTGCGGACTATGGAGAAATAAAAAACATCCACCTCAACCTGGACAGGCGCACAGGATACCTGAAGGGGTATGCTCTGCTGGAGTATGCAACCCACAAGGAGGCCCGGGCTGCTATGGAGGGGCTCAACAGCCAGGATGTGATGGGACAGCGGATCAGCGTGGACTGGTGCTTTGTTCGGGGTCCACCCAAGGAGAAGAGGAGAGGTGGCCGGAGGCACTGAGAGGCCCTCTGCTGTCCGGGTGTTCCCTCCAGAGATGGAGAAATAGGGCTGGGGTGGAACTGACTGTTTATCATTAATCTCTTACCCCATTGATTAGTGTGGGTGTTTGAGTTATGAATAAATGTCCCATTGTTTTCTTAAAAAAAAATGGGACATGCTAGAACTTTCTGGTATGAAAGTTTAGCCTTAGTTGATAGGCTTAAGTGATTAAAGCTGTGACGGGATAGGCTTAAGTAACTGCTTTTGAATAAAGACGTCTCTCCTTTTGAATACAGACTCTTTTCCTTTTATCACCAAAACTTTGCCTCTGGAATTTTGCCTAGAGCGGGGGTGTCAAATTCATTTTCACCAGGGGCCACATCAGTCTTGAGGTTGCCCTTCAAAGGGCTCCTCAGGGGGAGGAGAGGGATCCTCAGAGAATGGCAGATCTTATCACCTCTGGTTCTGCCCCTTACCATCCAAGCTGAGCAGAAGTCCAGACTCTCCTGAGTCCTGTCAGCTGCAGGTGGGGGAGGGCTGGTGGTGCACAGGGCTGGTGGTGCACAGGGCTGGTGGTGCACAGGGCTGATGAAGGGGCCCGGCATCTCCACCCAGAGAACCCTGAGGGGACCCCCACACCAGCAGAGGCAAATCCCTTGACAGAGCCCAGCTGGAACCTAAGGGGTGGGGGCAGGCCTTCCTGGAACATCACAGGAAGTGGATACTGGGGGAGGGGGGCAGCGCTTAAGAAGATGGTGCCCAGTCCAAAGAGCCTGAATCTGATATTTGCTGTTCAGCAACGACCAGATGAGGACCCTTCTGAATTTTTAGAGAGAGAGAGACTACAGGCCGGTGGAAAGCACTCTGATGCCGAGCCACGGGCACCAGGGAATGTGCGGATGGTGAGCATGACTCGCATAGGGCAAAGTGCCCTGGATATTAGAGGGAAACTCCAGCAGCGAGATGCAGCATCAGGAACGAGTCCGTCCCAGCTGGTAGACGTAGCCTTGAAGGTTTCCAGTGCCCGGGAAGCAAGGAAGGGAAAGCAGGCCATGGTGTGCTGAGAAACAGAGAGGCGGGGCCAGAGGAGAAGCAGGACCCTGACGGAGGAGGAGAGGCCCAGCAGGTGCCAGTCAACGTGCCCATTGCAAGGAGGAGGGCCAATGGGGAAAGGAAGTTCCCCGACGAGAAGGGAAAATCGAACACCCAGGTAACCACCACTTCAGTCAAGACATGAAACGCTTCTCCCATGATCCTCTGCAGTCGAGCACACCTCCTTCCTCAGCTGTAGGCACCCGGGCCACCACTCATCTGCTTTCCGTCACTACAGATAAGGGGTGAATTTTCTAGGGTTTTGTGTAACTAGAATCACTTGGCTTATTTGGTCAGTAAAATATTTGTTGAGATTTATTCACGTCGTGGTATCAGTTGTATGAATGTGGGACAAGCCAGTAACCCAGGCACAAATTTGCTCATTGCAGGTTCGCCCACCCATCTGATGGGCCCCTGTACCCTTTCCGGCCAGGGGACCGAATCTTACTAAAGACCCGGAAGACTCCAGGCCCTAACAGCAGCTGGCTGAGCAACGGACTGGTCCCTCTGGTGTCCTATTAACAACGCATTCTTCCCTAAAGCTGATGGGAATCAAGCCCTGGGTCCACCGCACACGGATAGAATGGGCACCGCCTGCGGAGGGCACAGACCCTGCTGCTGGGGTCGATGCTGAAAGGGAAGGCTGGACCTGCACTCCGGAAGGAGATTTTAAATTCCTCTTCTGGAAGAGGACAGTGACCCCCAGCACAGGGTGACAATATTTCTTTTACGTTATTCCCTTTAAACCTGGAGAAAAGGAAATATCTCACTTTTGGGTATGATGGATCTTCGCTTGCTTGGTTTCTTTGCTTGTTTTCGGATCTTATGGGGACGTGGTTTGAACTTGACCGCTTTGGGTACACATCAGGAATCCTCTGTCTCTGCTGTTTGGCCATTGGGACCTAGGCAAGGCCAACTGTGAAGCTGGTTGGAGAGAATGGCTTTGCCACTGGCACCCAGGAAGGGTCATTAGGTGCCCCTGGAATCCAGTTTGGGGCCAAGAGAGCATCTCTCTGCCTTGAGACAGAGTGGCACAGAGATCGTGTCTGGTCAGGAGACCAGTGGACGCACTGGGAGGCGAGAGTGTGGCTCTACCAGCGAGGCTTTGGGCCGTTCGGGACTTAGGGAAGGTTGCCCGTGTGACTGGACCCTGGGACTGGTGGGAGAGGAGATGGGATTCTAAGCTAGTTCCAGTCCCCCTTCTTTTTTTGGAACTCTGTCTTTGATTTGGATTTTGCTTTGTTTCTGTTCTGAAAAAAAATTTCAAGGTTTCCCAGGAAGAGTTAAGAACGTCACATCGAGTGGGAAAGGGAACAATGAAAGGTGTTAGGCATAGAAGTGCCATTTTGGTGGATACTGGAAGGCTAAGGATTTCCCTTCATGCTTCATATTTTTCTCCCTACTGGATCCCTCCAGAATTTGAAGATGGTGTAAAGTTTCTTTGCATAAAACCAGTAAGACCAGTTCCCGATGGTGGTTTTGTGAAGACTTTGACTGGAATATCCTGCCTGAAGGGGGCAGAACTGGGCTCTGCTTGTTACCAGAAAGCCTTGAGGAACTGAGATTGACTTCAAAGCTCACCAAAGCCCACCAGAGAAAAGGCCTGGCACCTTGTCTGGCTGTGTGGCTCATGGCAGTCCTTCTAGGGAAGGGACGAAGGTCGCTTTCCTGAACAATGGCGCAAGGGAACCTTAACACGTGACAGAAACCTCAGGGACTTGTGGAAGGAAGGTGGGTACTGCAGGAAAAGCCAGGTGGCAGGAGTGGGGCTTGGCTTCTGTGCCCTCAAGGGCAGACTAAAGCTCCATCTGTAAGTTCCTTGTGTGAGGACTGGATTTTTAAGTCCAGCAAAGCAGACTTAAAAATCACACGTGATCAATTGTCGCTCTTGTTGTGTTTATTCAAAGCAACTGGCAAAATTAAAACTGGACTTCATGTAGTCCCTTCGAGGACAGTGAGGGTGATTGTAGGGAGAAAAATCACAATTCAAGGAAAATTACGATGCTCAGTCTAGTGCTGGACGTTGGTCTAGTGCAGCTGTCTTCAAAGTTTTGTCTCCACTTGGAAGTTCAACTGGATTTGCGACATCAGAGATGTTCAATTTATGCGCAAGAAGGATCTGTCAAATGGTCACTGTTTAATATTCCAGCAAAAGCCTTGCAACTGAATGTCTTCTCAAAAGGTAGTCTCGTGGACCCCGAGACTGGTTCAGGACTGCCATGTGAATTAACCTGTGTATTCTCACTTCTGTTTTCACAGGGCGCATGCCTGTGACCTCATTGCCTGGGTGGTTGTTTAGACAACATAGGCCTCCCTCAAGCCCATATGCACTGCCACCTCCTGGGACTATGTGGTTTGGCTGGACTAAATGGTTGAGTTTGTAAAGTATGGGGCGGCCTATTGGCTTTGCATTAAAACTGGTTTCCTTTTCTGCCCTAATGGTTTGGACAGAAAGGGCCCAGAGGTGTTAAATGGTGGTGGTGGTGGGGGGGGAATCCTACAACATTTCCCCTCACACTGAGTTAAGTATAATGGTTAAGCGGGCTTTGGACTGGTGTGACATGCTTTGCATGCTCTTCCTCCAAGAAAGACACTTTTTCTTACTCAGAGGCATTGCAGAACTAGTCCCTGCCTTTGTTATTAAGTTGTTAGAGTTTCGATTATGTCTTCTAACTCTCTTGCCAAATTTGTCGCCTCCAGAACGCAACAAAGGTGCCAGCTCGTCCAGCATTGCACGCTCAGCTTTCCAGGCATAACCAGCTGACCTGGATCCTGCTAGATCCTTCTCTGTCCCGTGAAGGCCAGACCCCCTTTCTCTTATGGGTCTCTGGGCCAGCGGGAAGTAGAATGAGACCTTTGGCCCTTTGCCTGTGTGAGAATACAAAGGTTCAGAAGTGTTAAATGGGGGAACTGATACAGCCAGATCTGATTAAGACCACTGGGGAGAGGCAGGAGGGCCTATCGGAGGAGTTTACTGAGGCAATGGAAAGCAGTCTAGGACGGGATTGGCTGAGAAGTTGACTGCCTCCAGAGCCAATGGGAATGAAAAGAGGGCTGGCTCTGCCTCCCAGGCTCACTCCCAGGCTCTTCTTCCCCAGGGGTGGCGGGGTGATCGTGCTGCAGCTGCCTGCATTTCCCAACAGACAGTAATTTGTAGGGGAAGGAACTCTGGGCACAGGCTAGGGTCAGGCTGGCCTGGCAGAGGGTGGCTAATGGCGGGAGAAGCTAGAACTCAGGTGGTTAAGAGTTTAACCTTAACTGATAGGCTTAAGTGGTTAAAGCTGTGACTTGATAGTAACTGCTTTTGAATAAAGTAACTGCTTAAGTAGCTGCTTTTGAATAAAGACTCTCTGTCACCAAACCTTTGCCTCTGGAATTTTGCCTTGAGGGTGGCGGCAGGCAGCAGGACCCCAGCTTACTGTTGGGGTACCAGGCTCACCTGTAAAACTTCCACCCCAGGCATCCTAAGCGTGGTTCATCACAGTGGAAGAGGATTTTCTTGTGGCTTCAATTCCACCCCCTGGGTTCTCGGGAAGGGCATCTAACTGTGGACTCTGGCAGACAGTGGTCCATGAGAAATGGGGTAAGGTTATGTTAGAATCTCCCAGGGTTGCTTCCAAAGCATCCAGAGGCCTGGGACCCAGTCTAGATGCCCTAAAATCACAGTCCTAGGAATGGATTTTTAGAGTCTCCTGGAGGACTGCGTCAGAGTCAGTCTGAGCTATGATTGTGAACGTCTTCCCCCAAAATGCCTTTACAGGCACCTTTTCAAGGAGTAGTTTGTGAAGAGAGGCATCCTGAAAGTTACCTTGGGTGTGACACGCTAACTGGGCCTCAGTGCAAATGGTTACACTCCTGTACCATCCGAGTCAAGCCCCTCCCCTCTCCTCCCACCCAGGGGCTTGCTACTGGGGGCTAAGCAGGCACAT